AACTAAAAGTATATCATATATTGTCTATATATTACTCATGAAAATTATAGAGAAAAACGATAATGATATTTATAACTAGTATTATAAAGGTACCCACTATATCAATGGTCGTAAGAAAAGTCATAATCCTAAATGTCAGTGTTCCTTGGAAACATAAACGAAAAACAAAACGAAGGAAAGGGAAGAGGGGGATAAAAAAGGAGAAAATCCTAAATGTCAGTGTTCCTTGGAAACATAAACGAAAAACAAAACGAAGGAAAGGGAAGACGAGGATAGAAAAGGAGAAACAATATGAAAGATATGTGAGAAGAAAGTGTACATTTATTTTGCTTATGTCTACTATTTTCGTGTTATTTATAGAATAGTGATTATTTTTATTGTCCATAATAAGACCTAAATTCATTTAAGCGCCAAATCCACAAGAAACTCGATTATAAGATATTCGATTATACAATTTTCTTGTCAACGAAAGTAATAAAGGAAAATCGTCCAATCCATTTCTTCGTAGCCTTTCTCGTTTTTGAACTTTGATCTTTCTCTTAAGAACATGCGATTATTAACACCCAAAAGACGACATTAAAGCCAATGATTAGGATCGGAACAACAATTAACCGAACTATGTTTAAAACTCTTTCCGACTTGCACATGTTCGGACGAGTTTTTGGGTCGTTGCTCTTTCCGCAGAGTGGAATCACCTGGAAGATATTTTAAAATTCGTCATTTTTCTTGTATTTGAAAATTATACTATATGTTGTTTGTTTGATCGTATAGAAATGGAACAATCAGACATCTCCATCTTACTCTTCTATCTCTAAAATCCATTGTTATTTGTTTGTATTTAATTTTTTATTCATCAAAGGTAATATCACAACTTTGCTTCCAATTTTCTCTATCCTTTTTCATCCCATACATAAATAACTCTCCAATCTTTCCCCTGATCCTCCCCTAGTAATCAGAATGACCATATAACATCCTCGTCATGTTTTCTCCCGTTTTCAAAATCAAACACAAACTCAACCTCTCACCTTTGAAGCCGATGTCTCCTCCAGCCGCTCGATAAAAACATGAAAGATGATAACGAGGAAAAGGAGGAAAAGGCAATAGAAAAACCAGCAGTCAATCAGCTTGATGTATGACGTGGAGGGTAAGGATTTGCTGATTTGGTTCGAGAGCGTGTAGAGGACCAGTAAAGTTGTCAGGCTGACCGTCAGACGCACCTGGGGAAGGAGGGGGTGGGGGGTTAGAGAAGAGGGGCGGTTTCTCGTTTGTTCTGGCAGGTGGGTAGGACTTGGGTCTGTTCTTTTCTTTTTTCTTCTCTCTCTCTCTCTCTCTCTCTCTCTCTCTCTCTCTCTCTCTCTCTCTCTCTCTTTCTCTTTCTCTTTCTATCTCTCTTTCTCTCTCTCTCTCTCTCTCTCTCTCTCTCTCTCTCTCTCTCTCTCTCTCTCTCTCTCTCTCTCTCTCTTTCTCTCTCTCTCTCTATCTATCTATCTATCTACCTATCTATCTCTTTCTCTCTCTCTCTCTTTCTCTCTCTCTCTCTCTCTCTCTCTCTCTCTCTTTCTCTCTCTCCTTCTCTCTCTCTCTCTCTCTCTCTCTCTCTCTCTCTCTCTCTCTCTCTCTCTCTCTCTCTCTCTCTCTCTCTCTCTCTCTCTCCCATCTCCCCCTCTTCATGTTCCCTTCCTCGCTCTCTTGAGAAAAAGGACCATAATACATACATTACAAAATGCAAGTTACTAAAAGACCCAAACCTTTTTGAAGAACAAGACTCGCCTCTACGTTCGATCTTTGTAAATACCCGTCCCCCCTTATCACGACCCACCTGCAGGAGAGAGAGCTTGATGAAAAGGGTGGCGTAGCCGATGGCAACCAGCATGAAGGAGGGCAGGAAAAGCTCCAGGACGATGCGGTCGAAGCGCCTCTTCAGGGTAAATTCCACCTGTTGTAAGATTTTCATAAGAGGGTTGATAGATATAACAGGTAAGCCATATTGTTATGGTTAGAACGTGTGATATTAGTCGATTTGGTTAGTGAATATGGGGTATGTTTAATTCAGAAATAAGGATATTGTAAGCAGTTGTGAACGGTTAAGAATAATGATTTTAAATTCCTATTAAAATGTCACCTTTATTATCCCGAATGGCTTCGTTGGATCATCCATGCGCTTGACTTCGAAGTCCCCAACTATGTAATTATTTAGAGCAGCTTCCCCGGTAAATTCCACGTTTTCTTTCTTGAAGGTGACGAATTTCTTGTGAACAGACGTGAACGCGAAAGAAACGCTGCAGTTTTGCTTATCGAAGGGATAATGGAACACGTTGAGATTACAGATGAACTTGTCCAAGAACAGCATGTCCAGGCGAATCCTAACCGAGCTGCCCTTGTAAACAGTATCTGTGGACAAATTAAAAGGAGGTCTGGAATCTCAACAAAGTCGAAAGTTCATCCTAATTCGCTTTCTTCACCATCGTTAGCAGACTATATTTGCCAAGCCTTTACCCAT